GTTGGCGCTATATAAATCCTGTATAATAATAACAATAATAATAATAGTTAATATATGTGAGAAGCTCATTGAGATAAATTGGCCAGTAACACCAGAAATAGATTTGCTCTCAATTATACCTCTCAATTATACCCGGAGATATCCGGAAGGGTAAAAGAGGCCTAATGCAACATCTTTTAGTGGCAGCTAGAACGTTGATACATCAGCGATGCCGCAGAGTGGGTTTGCGAAGTTAATTTTATTATGAGGATGGAGAAACTTACTTATTGACTATTAGATAGATATTCTGAATTCTGCTAAACTTGGAGTCCTTGGAAAGATTTTTTAACAACTAGTACATTGCAGCAACTCTTATAAAATTAGGTGAAAGGAGTAGAAATACTTTGAAGAGGAAGAATAACATATGATGCGAAGGGAGGGAAAAAGGGGAAAAATCATACAATCGGACATTGGGGGATTTTCCTTTCTTTTTTTTTTTTTTTCATTGGTTTGTTAGTTTTGGTATGAGATGAGTGAGATAAGGTAAATGGGAAATGAAAAATGCTGTAGTCTCCACCTCCCTCCAATAGATAGCATAGGGTATTAAGCAACTAGCAATGGAAGAAGAGGAGTGTTGGGGGGGGGTTAAGCCAACATATTCATGTAAGAATTACATTTATACTGTGGGATGTTATACGTTGTGGAGATGAAGAAAAGTTAAACTTGTATGTAGATTGTATAAGTGTATGTTGATGCTTTGTTATCCTTTTTTATGTATGTTTATTTTGGATAAACAATAAAAAGATATTAGTTAAAAAACATGTTTTGTTAGCAACTAAATTTATTTTGCATGTGCAATAGCAAGCCTGCTATTGGCTATGCCAATCAATTTGAAGCAGCAAATAGCACAATCTAGCCAGCAGATGAATGGGGTGGGGTGTTGCTTGAGAGTTAGTAGTAACTCTCAAGCAACCAGAAACAATGGTTATCCGGCATCTACCAATCCCATGGGTACCGGATAACTGGGGGTTTACTGCATAATTTATTTTTTATGTATTTGTTACTGCAAGTACATTGATCTTGGCAAACATGTACAGATTGAAATGTTGTTTCAATTATTTTCTGCTGTTTTATTGGTTTGTGTGTCAGTGCTGCTTTCCAATAAAGTTGTTTCTGTTCAGAAGGCTGTACCGACAACATCACTTTCTGTGCTGCTGTCAGCTTCGTCACTGTCACAATGGGTTATCAAGGAATCTTCCAACACAGCACAGAATTAAAGAGCAACCAGGAAATTACGTTCTTGTGTCTCTGGTTGCTAGGCAATGTGGGTTTGGCCAGTGAAGGGATCTTGTGTATATATACAGCGATGGAGTGTACTAGAAGCATGCAAAGCTACCAACATCAGAGCAAACGGATTCCAGAACAGACTCGTAAGCTCTACATCTGCAAATATGGGTGCCTTCTTCAGCAGCCTTTACAAAACTCTAATGGGCTTTTCTGGCACCAAGGCTCGGATCCTGATGCTGGGTCTGGATGCTGCTGGAAAGACCACGGTCCTCTACAAGCTGAAGCTGAATGAGACAGTCTGTACAATCCCTACCATCGGATTCAACGTTGAGACTGTGGAACCCATCAGTAATGTGACATTTACTGTCTGGGATGTGGCTGGTCAGGGCCTGATTCGAGGCCTGTGGAAACACTACTTTGTCAATACAGATGGACTGGTTTTCGTGGTGGACAGTGCTGACCCAGAGCGGTTTCTGGAAGCCAGGACAGAACTGAATGCTCTCCTGGACAGTGAAGAAATGAGAGGTGTGCCCTTCTTGGTGATGGCCAATAAGCAAGATATCCCAGGTGCCAGGAAACCCATGGAGCTGGTGGAAGAGTTGGGACTGATGAAGATAATAGGACATCAGTGGCATGTCCAGGGGTGCTGTGCAGCCAATGGGGAAGGACTGGTGGAGGGGCTGGAGGTCCTCACCAACTTTGTGAAGCAGTTTCAAAACACCAGGACATCCTAAGAGGACGAAATTCACGCCAATTCATACTACCTCTACTTTTCCTGTCTATGGAGCTGGGACAGTATATAGAACAAACACAGTGCTATCAGCTTGTTCTTCTCAAGCCAAAGAGTGGAGGAACTGTGCAACCTACAGAGCCAACTTTCATCTTGCTCACCCTGTAGTCTCCACCATGTAAGACTGCAGGAGTTGAAACATAACTATGGTTCATACATATACAAATGAGTAATTTCATGGATACATTTTACCAGAGAGGGTCTCATTGTGTAAGTCGAAAATTATTTATCCTCTATTCACATGTACAAAATATGTCAATTGTTTTAGACATTTTAATTATATATTTTAATTTGATTAAAATTAGATATTTTGTAACTAAATATTTGTTGTATTATTTTACTGTTTTTATTTTTAATTTATATTTACTTATTTATTTTTATTTAATAACAATTTTGATCGTATATGTCAAGTGTCTGACGGCAGAGCAGATTGTACTCCTCTCCTAATGTCCCATCTTTGTTCCCTGTTTTAACCTGCCCTAGCAATAGAAAAGCATAAGTGGCCACACACGCATACTAATCTAAATCTGTGCTGTCGCTTGTACATCTGCTAACAATCTGTGTAGCATTAGGGGCTATCTAAAAAATTTACTCAGGTTGCATCCAGTAAGGCGGACCGTGGCACTACTACATAGTTGTTGGTAAATCTAAAGGACATTTTGTGTTCTCATTGTAAGGGGACTGGCTTGAAGCAAATATATTGGGGGGAATTAACAATATCACAGGCATATTGTGCGTTCTCATTGTAAAGCCAGCCATGCACCTATAAATTATCTGCAGATTTTCTATGGTCAGATGGAAAAAGTGCAACAAATTCCTCCATCTATGCTAAACTGTAGGTACAATAGGTCTGCTCAATCAACTGGTTAAGGGCTTGTTCACACCAAATGCGGTGCGTTCCAGAGTGGTAGGTGCTGAAACGCACAGCAATCACACATTAAACTTCCCCCTTCGTTCTGGGATGGGAGGGGGAGTGCCGGTGCACGGAAGTCAATGGCACTGCAGCCACCCCCCCTGCCTGCAGTGCAATCGACATATTGGCAAAACATTGCTTGCGTTCTGGTCCACTGCAAAAATAGAGCATGCAGCATATATTTGCGTTCGCATTGGAACGGAACGCAGGCAATGTTTTGCCATGCTTACAATCACACTGCGGCGGGAGGCGTGGCTGATGTGCCATTGCCTTCAATGCACCACCACACCCCCTCCCATCCCAGAACAAAGGGGGACGTTTAGCGTGTGATTGCTGTGCGTTCCAGCAGCTGCCACTCTGGAACACACTGCAATTGGTGTGAACAAGCCCTCATGTGGCAAGTGCACAAGACCATCGTCCTTCACTACAGGCAGTGCCAGGTCCGAGCCCTCCTGCTGACTTGATGGGGCCCGGGCAGCTGACTGGGGGAGGTGGGTGATCTGGCAGTCACTTTGTGGAAGGAGGAGGATCATTATTCAGCTCCCTCTCTGCTGGAGATTGGTTTATAGAACACCAGGTGGTGCTAGGAACCAAGTGGTAGCAGCGGGGATTGAATATTGACAGCTCCAGTCCACTGTTTCTGCAGTCTCCATGGTTCATTGAGCTTTTGCTGACCCACGAAGTGGTGCCCCCCTTGGAGCAGTGCCCACAGTATGCCATACCCTGCAAATGCCACTGGCAATCATTGCCCCAGGACCGAGGATCAGACGAGTATTTCTTCTTGATTCCATCCCCAAGGGAAAAACAAGCAATTAACCCTTGCAGCATGGAGGTAGGCCCACTGCAAGGGTTTATTTAAAAAAATCATGGAGTTCTTTTTTAATGTTGCACACAACACTTGCGCCAGTTTTCTGCCCTGTTATAATGCCTTGCTAATATCCCCCACAGCGTGTGTGAGCTACACAGACACAGCTTACATGAGTTGAAGTATTATCAGTGTCATTACAAAGACATTGGGAGTTATTCTTTAAGGCAGGGCAAAGTGCAATGACTACATGTAGGGCGCAGTAATCCGTATCAGCTGGGAACAAGCCAACGACTATAGTAAACTGAAATCTGCTTAGTTACTATGGAATATAACACTGCACAAAATCATTACACTCTGTAGTCCTGTAGAGTAACACATTTTTCTCATTAAATTTTATGGAAAAAATGTGTGAATCTTGGGTGAAAACATTGACGAATAGACCCCATATCCATTATGCCGCAGTGCATATTGAAAAAGTGCTGAGTAGGCTGCCCTATGATTTGCCTTTCAAGTCAATTAAATGAAATGTCCCCAAACAATGCAATGGATAGCAACATACTGCAACCCACGACACATTAACAATGTTTAATGCAGCCAAAAGAAAGCTTCATTCTTATTGGTTTCTGGGGGTCAATGAATTCTACTCCTTGCCTCATCATTATAGCCCATTGATATACTGTATATTCTATGTAGCTTGGTGAATTTGAATAAAGGTAGTAGATTGAGAAAGGGGAGATTCGCTGAACATTATTTATAATTAGAAAGAAAACCCTCTCTACAGCCACATCATAAAAAGCTCAAGGCATTACAATGAATACGTTTCCTATATCTGTACACGTTATGCACTCCTTATTAAAATGAACTGTAACCCTCAATGGGGGTTTTTTTCATAAAGGAGTTATTTGTCCCAACTAACCTTATGGTCGGCCATCCTTTGTTACCCGGATCTTGTTTTTGGCCTATAACTTCAGCAAAAGCATATTTAAGTGAATAGCCTGACCCCCCTGACCCTCAAAGGCGTGTGGTAAACCCCTGAGGCAGGGAGGGCTGACATTTCACTCTCTAGGTTGTGGGATGTAAACAGTAAATTAGGCACCAGTCTTTTTAACCTCCCTGGCGGTCTGATTATCTCAGTATTTTTTCTATTTTTTACTTTTGAATTTCCCACCGGTTCCACCCCCCTGCGACACGGGCGCTCGCAAGGGAAGGAACCCTGAAGATGGATGCTGGCATCGGCCAGAGGACACAGCGGGGCTCATAGGGACAAGGTAAGTGACGCACTGTGTAATCCCGAGTGTGGCTCGGGGTTACCGCTTATGGTACTGAAAATTAACCCCAAGCCACACTCGAGATTACCGCCAGGAAGGTTAAGTTCTTTTCCAATGATTTATTGTACAACAGCTAAAACTTGGAGAGAGGGTATAGGGCTACAGACATCCATGGACAAAAATAGGCTCCACACTCACCAATCCCTTGCAGCTTCCACAGTGCAGGAACACTTTAGTTAAGCAGAGGATGACACTGTGTAACAGAACCACAGCTGGATAGAGGATATTCTTGAGATCTTTCCTGTGAGAGACACCAGACTAGCTCCTGAGGTCCATGCCATCTTGGCCTTTCTGGCACCTCCAGCAGATAAATGTCTCCTGTGGTTCTCCATCCCAGACAGTTTCAGACCCTAAATGGGTCCACATCTGGCCTCTTACAGGCTTCAGGCCTAGTTAGCTTCTACAACAGGGCTATGCCCAGAGGCAGACTGCCCTAGCACAGGGCAATTCCTGAGTATTTATGCACTTCCCCAGCATGCAGCACTGGCCATGAAACTTCTAGTGATTGGCTTAAGAGACATAAACACTTCCAATATTCTCCAGCTGGCTACCCCACTCTGTGGCAGGGCCATGCCCCACTACAGGTAGGTGCAGACAATAGCAGAACACCTAGGAATTAACAAATGATCACATACTACAAATCTGCCAGACTGTTTACAGTTCCGGCAACACTAAATCTAAAGAGCCACTCCACTTAGGCCGGGTTTTACACCTGGGCGTTTTACAGCGCTGATCGAAGCTCTGTAAAACACCCAGCAAATTAAATACCATTATTTCCTATGGGCATGGTTCCCACCTGGGCATATTTCAGCGCGTCGGAACGTGCTGAAAAATGCCCTACGCCCAAAGAAGTACAGGAGCTTCTTTGGGGCGTATTTCCGCGCGTATCCATTAGGATACAGCCGGATAGCCCTGGTAAACGCGCGTTTGACGCGCGTTTTGTGGACCGCAAATCGCGGTAAAAACGCGTGGCCCGGAACGCGCGTCATACCCGCATATTTCAAACGCCCAGGTGGGAACCCAGTGTTAGGGTGAAGGGGCAACAAAAGTAACAGCATTCTCCTTTTGGCACTAGAGAGGTAGAGCCATCTGTCAATCAGGTAGCAAGGTGGATCCCGACAATATTGTGGGGCTCTTTCCCTGCTGCGGCTCTGCGTTGTCAGCATATAGCGGGTAATAGCCCACTATATGCTTAGTTTTGGGTCACAGGAGGACATAACTAAATGTCCTCCTGTGACCCAAAAGAGAACTAATGCTAAAAAAAAGTTTGGCTATAGTTCTCTTTTAAATTCCATTATTGTTGCTTAAAGAATGACTTCCTAAACTGATGAAAGATCTTTATACACCTCTCCTGAATCGCAAACAATTGGCCAAAAGGGATTTCCAGACCATAAGATTAAGGAGATAGGTAGACGGGTATACTACAGCAGTGCCTAAATACCAGAATTATGTTTTGATATTTTTTATATCATTATAATATTAATTATATTATATATCACATACTTCTGGAGGAAATATTTTTTACAAAGCAGAATGATTGTTTTTAATGTAATAAGGTTTCAGTAATGCACAATAAATAAAATAGAGGAATCTAATCCTGGTAGCATAGCGCTTAGCCACAGCTATATATATATATTGTGACATAAGGAAAGGAGAAGTCATCGAGGGGCGATATATGCCCCCTCGCTTTCTATCCTATGTACAGGAATAGTGGAACCCAGACCAGGTTGACTTTGGGTTGACTTTGGGTCTGAATAATCCAGCTCGGGTTTTGTGTCTCTCACCTGGATTGTTAATTGCTTATCCAGGTGAGATAAAAGGGGAAGGCTGAAGCAGGATGTTGCTCTGATCTGGGATTGCGGTCTAGGAGAGAGCTATAAGTTGGATAGGTGTGAGGAGAAGGTTGCTGAAAGTACTTTTGTTTTGTGAGGTGGCTGAGATAAGCTCACCCCATGGTAGAGAGGAAACCTGCCTGTTTAGTCAGAGCCTGAGAGGCAAGGATTTGTTTTCTGTTTTTGTTAACAGTAAACCCCCCATTATCCGGCAACCAGAACTTTCAAGCAACCAGAAACTACGGTTATCCGGCATCTACCAATCCCCATGGGAAACAGATAACAGAGTTTACTGTATGGTTTCTTATTTGTAACTGCAAGTGTCAAACAAGTACAAATTGCAGTGTTGTTTCCATTCCTCTGTGCCGTTGTAAAGGTTTGTGTGTCAGTGTTGCTTTGCAATAAAGTTGTTTCTGTTCAGAAGGCTGTACTGACAACATCACTTCCTGTGCTGCTGTCAGCTTCGTCACTGTCACAATGGGTTATCGAGGAATCTTCCAACACAGCACAGAATTGCAGAGCAACCAGGAAATTCCTTTGCTGTGTCTCTGGTTGCTAGGCAATGTGGGTTTGGCCAGTGAAGAGATCTTGTGTATATACAGCGAAGGAGCGTACTAGAAGCATGTAAAGCTACAGACATCAGAGCAAACGGATTCCAGAACAGAATTGTAAGCTCTACATCTGCAAATATGGGTGCCTTCTTCAGCAGCCTTTACCAAACTCTTATGAGTTTCTCTGGCACCAAGGCTCGGATCCTGATGCTGGGTCTGGATTCTGCTGGGAAGACCACGATCCTCTACAGGCTGAAGCTGAATGAGACAGTCTGTACCATACCTACCATTGGATTCCACGTTGAGACTGTGGAACCCATCCCTAATGTGACATTTACTGTCTGGGATGTGGCTGGTCAGGAACGGATTCGACCCCTGTGGAGACACTACTTTGTCAATACAGATGGACTGGTTTTCGTGCTGGACAGTGCTGACCCAGAGCGGTTTCTGGAAGCCAGGACAGAACTGAATGCTATGCTGAACGATGAAGAATTGAGAGATGTGCCCTTCTTGGTAATGGCCAATAAGCAAGATCTCCCAGGTGCCAGGAAACCCATGGAGCTGGTGGACGAGCTGGGACTGATGAAGATAGAAGGACATCGGTGGCACATCCAGGGGTGCTGTGCAGTCAATGGTGAAGGACTGGTGGAGGGGCTGGAGGTCCTCACCAACTTTGTGAAGCAGTTTCAAAACACCAGGACATCCTAAGAGGACGAAATTCACGCCAATTCATACTATCTCTACTTTTCCTGTCTATGGAGATGGGACAGTATATAGAACAAACACAGTGCTATCAGATTGTTCTTCACAAGCCAAAGAGTGGAGGAACTGTGCAACCTACAGAGCCAACTTTCACACTTGTCATCTTGCTCACCCTGTTGTCTCCACCATGCAAGACTATCAAGGGGAAGGTTTTTGTGACAACATTGAAGGTGTCGAGTAAAGAACTGTTTAAAGGACTGGCTGCAGGAGTTGAAACATAACTGTGGTTCATACATTTACAAATGAGTAATTTCATGGATAAATTTGATCAGAGAGGGTCTCATTGTGTAAGTCGAAAATTATTTATCCTCTATTCACATGTACAAAATATGTCAATTGCTTTAGACATTTTAATTATATATTTAAATTTGATTAAAATTAGATATTTTGATATTTATATTTACTTTACTATTTTTTTTAATTGATTTTTATTTAATAACAATTTTGATCTCATATGTCAAGGGTCTGATGGCAGAGCAGATTGTACTCCTCACCTAACGTCCCATCTTTGTTCATTGTTTTAACCTGCCCTAGCAATAGAAAAGCATAAGTGGCCACACACGCATAACAATCTAAGTCTGTGCTGTCTCTTGTACATCTGCCAACAATCTGTAGCATTAGGGGTTATCTAAAAAATCTACTCAGCTTACATCCAGTAAGGTGGACCGTGGCACTACTACATAGTTGTTGGTAAATCTAAAGAAGATTGTGCATGGAGATTGCGCATTCTCATCGTAAAACAGGCCATACACCTATAGATTATCTGCAGATTTACTATAGTCAGATGGAAAAAGTGCAACAGATTCCTCCATCTACGCTAAACTGTGTGGATGAAGGAATCTCCCACTGGGCCAAGTTTCAGTATCATTGACAGCTAGTCGGCTGTCAAAATACCTGAACAATCTGATTGGATGCAGGCAATGTTCAGGTATTTTGAGAGCCAGCAGGGATGACTAGCAAGATACTGAAGCTTGGTCCAGCAGGAGATTCCTCCATCTACACAGTTTAGTGTAGATGGAGGAATCTGTTGCACTTTTTCCATCTGACCATCATAGAAAATCTGCAGATAAGCTGACCATACACCTATAGATTAAGGTGACTGGCTTGAAGCAAATATATTGGGGGGAATTAACAATATCACAGGCATAATGGCTGAACCCCTCTTCTCAAATGGAAAACAGGAGCAGATGCTGATCCTAATTAACAAAAGGAATGCAAGCCCCTTTGTTAATAAGGAGCGATCTGCTCCATTTTCTATGCAGTGTATATGCCAGACATTGCATAGAGAGCAGGAGAGCTGACATTACTTGCTTGGGTACCCTCTGCTCACCTCTCGGCCCTCTTTCTGCTTAGTAGAGACTGAGAGGGAGAAAGAAGGTTGTTAACCCTGCATTTGCTGGGGATAACGACTAGGCATATAGACTGGGAAAGGAGCTTTCTCTGGTTATATGCAAGGGATGCCTGTGTAGTGTGTTCCCTGCACTGGCAAAGGGGCATGTAAGCTGTCTGCCAGGTTGCATCCCATACGCTGGGTTCAATCTTGTGGGGATCTGCAGCGTTTTCCTATATTGTAATCTGCCACAATGCCTTTGTTATTTAGGTGCAGAACTCGCTCCAGTTTGTATTGCAGACTGAAACAGAAACTGGAGTGGGTGGCGTAGATAGGCCAGAAACACGTCTATCTGATTTGTTAAAGAAGAAGAACTCCAGGATTTTTTAAAATTAACCCTTGCAGTGGGGCTACCCCAATACTCAGTCGTGCTTGGCTGCTAGACCGGTCTCCGCAGTCTCTTCTCCCCCCGGCTCCGGCAGTCTAAGGATCCATTAAGTTATCATGTCTACTACAGGTCTATTAGACATGAGGATCCCGAGGGACATTTCACAGCCAGAGAGGAAGGGGAGATAGGTGAGCGATCACCAGAGGCTGGTCTACAGAAAATAGCGCTCATGGCAAGCACTGAAATTGCTCCCCTTTTTCAAAAATTGACACCCGTGTTTTACATAACTTTACCATAATATCAACTCAACAATACAAGTCAAACTTCTCAGAGTTCCCCTTTATATCATATTCTCCAGAGTTCCCTGTGACGATAATAGGGGTGAGTCTGACTATTAAAAATAGCATTCTCTTGTCCCCCAGTTAGAGCAAATACAGGCCTTCATTTAGTAATTTTCCAGGCCTTCCACATTCCACAGAACAGAGATCTGCTATCTGGCTGTGATCTTTATTGCCCCCCAGCCCTAGTGAAAGTTTAAAATATCTCTCTAAGCCTTTTATAGCTGTCCCTAATTAAAGGCATGGTACCAGGCCCTCATCTATTACCAGTGAACAAGCTAATATAAACAAGCAGGTCTGGTAAAGGTGGTGACCCAGCATTCACCCAAAAGTCATAAACCTGAGTTTCAAAATCAAGCTACATTTCATAATTTGGAATTGGGGGGGTAGTGTAGAATAAAGGTTAATTCTCCTCCTACTTTCCATCCCCAGCCCTCCCCTAGGGGCCGGCTCCTAAAGGTCTCACAAAAAGATGCTGAACTTGCTAGAGATGCTCTTGGGTTTTAAAACATCAAGGAGGAACTAAGAAGTCTTATCATCGCAGAAGAGTTCCCCTTTCATCTTTGGACATTATCGTCTGAAAGCTTGCTTGAAGAAGAGCCCTTCAGACTTCTCCTTTGATTATACAACTCAGAACTAGGTCAGAACTCCTAAACCCAGGACTGTTGAGTATAAACCTTTTATTCCCTGTTACTTTGCTGTTGTATATATATATTGTCTCTCTTTATTAATATCCTTTTCTGTATATTTTCTGCACCGTTTCTTTTATTAAAGGACCATCCTAAAAATCGTTAAGCTTATCTCTACGCTCTAAATAAGAACTTAAAGTATCCTTGCCTCTGTGAAGAGTGCTACTGTATAGTGAATCCTATCCTATTCCTGTCTGAGAGAACAGTGGTATCATTGGCATTGTTTAAGTGTTTTAAATTGTCACAGCATTTGCTGGGAACGGTCTGTGCTGCCGTAAAAGACGATCACTCTCAGTCTGCTGGCCTGAGATTGTGTCCCGTGAGCTGGTAAATCTCTGCGCAGGGTGAGGCTGAGAGTGGTATGGCCACATCCTTGTGACACTCACGCTCAGTTCAGAACTGTGTATAGTCACGTGTGATTGACGTACAGCAGGTCTGGGCCGGGCTAACGTCACATTCCCTCCTTAAATCAGAGTCCTCAGAGCCCCCCTTAAATTAGAGTCTCCAGAGTCCCCCCTTATATCAGCATCCCCAGAGACCCCCTTTACATCAGAGTCCTAAGGACTGAGATGTAATGGGGACACTGATGTAAAGAAGAACTCTGTAGACTCTCTTGTAAGGGGGGGACTCCGGGGATTAAGTGTCCATAGTCCGCCTTGTATCAGTGCCCCTCCTTACATCAGACGCTGATGTAAGAGGGGGCACTATAATGAGGCAGTGGAAGAAGAGGGATGCAAAAGTTAACAGTGTTGGCAGAAAGGGCAGGAGGCAGAGAAAGACATGCTGAAAACCACCGCCCCTTTCTGCAGCTGACCAGCACAATCCAGGTGAGCAAATGGGACCCTGATTAATGTGGCAAGTACACGGGACCATCGTCCTTCACTACAGGGAGCCAGTGCCAGGTTCGGGCCCTCCTGCTGACTTGATGGGGCCTGGGCAGCTGACTGGAGGAGGCGGGTGATCTGGCAGTCACTTCGGTGAATGAGGCGCATCATTATTCAAAGAAGGGTGGGTCATTATTCAGCTCCCTCTCTGCTGGAGATTGGTTTATAGAACACCAGGTGGTGCTAGCAACCAAGTGGTAGCAGCGGGGATTGAATATTGACAGCTGCAGTCCGCTGTTTCTGATGTCTGTATGGGTCATTGAGCTTTTGCTGACCCACGAAGTGGTGCCCCCCTTGCAGCAGTGCCCAGAGTATGCCATACCCTGGAAATGCCACTGGCAATCATTGCCCCAGGACCGAGGATCAGGTGAGTATTTCTTCTTGATTCCATCCCCAAGAGAAAAACACGCAATTAACCCTTGCAGCATGGAGGTAGGCCCACTGCAAAGGTTTATTTTTAGAAATCATGGTGGTGTGTGCCACATTTTTTAATGTGGCACACACCACTCGTGCCAGTTTCCTGCCCTGTTATAATGCCTTGCTAATATCCCCCACTGCTTATATGAGCTACCCAGACACAGCTTACATGAGTTCCAGTATTATCAGTTTCCTTACAAAGACATTGGGAGTTATTCATTAAGGCAGGGCAAAGTGCAATGACTACATGTAGGGCGCAGTAATCCGTATCAGCCGGGAAGAAGCCAATGACTATAGTAAACTGAAATTTGCTTAGTTACTATGGAATATAACACTGCACAAAATCATTGCACTCTGTAGCCTTGTAGAATTTGGTTAGTCCACAGATACTCAGCTCTGGTCCAGCGATGCAATGTGAGCTCCATCATCGGGTGGGAAATCTTTTCCCCACAGAGTCTTCAGCTGTCTTGATTGACAGGCAGGGAAATAACATAACTCCTGCACATGGGAGTTTATTCATCCCGGCACCAAGGCGTGGCGAGAATGTACACTGAGCTGCTCATGCACACCTCAATGTACATTGGATGTCTCAACTTTCGCCCAAGAGTAACACATTTTCTCATTAAATTTTATGGAAAAAATGTGTGAATCTTGGATGAAGGCTTTGTGAATTTTTAGTGAAAACATTGACGAAAAGACTCCATAACTTTCAATAGGACCTGTTCTCACCAATACATTATACTGCAGTATGTATTTAATACATGCCGAGTAGGTTGCCCTGTATTTTTCCATTCAAGTCAATTAAATGAAACGTGCTGCAACCCACGACACATTCATAAAGTTTAATGCAGCCCAATCAAAGAAAGCTTGATTCTTATTGGTTTCTGGGGGTCAATGAAT